AAAAAAAAAAAAAAAAAAAAAAAAAAATTTCGCTATTTTAGTCCTCCACGAGATATTATTTCGAAACTCATTTAAATCATTGTTCTACACACAGTTTTTGAAGGATTACTACAAATTCGTGAAACATCATTTAAGTGAAAATCATTTGCCCAAAAATATCACGATATTTCCCGATGTGGACGAATTAAAAAAATTCGCCGAAAAAAAATTTCTTGAATTTTACAAGCTAGAGCCTACCTGTGCGGTGTACGCGCCCGGAACTCTCACCATAGCTGGCAAGTGTATGGGTATCGCTGAAAGTAAATCATTGTCAATGGTAGGTGCAAATTCAAGCAATTTCTGCTCCGATTCACTGCAAATCCCGATTTTCCTAGCTTGCACGATCGCTGAACATGCGCTTTTCTCACGTGATCGTGACGCTTGGAAAAAGGAATAGAGGCGTGTAACGATACATACACACACATTTGTCTCCGTTTATCTTCCCTTGAAATAAAACAGGCCATTCAACTTGTCACGTTGATAGTTGGTAAATACTATCAGTACAAACGATGTCGGATTATATCTTACTTGGACAAAACTAAGGTGGAAAGAGTGGAAATAGGCTTGAAGGAAAACGATCTTTACATAGCACCCGAAGAAAGATTGTGGATACGTTATTTAAAAGGAACGTTGCGAACATTCAAGGAAAAGTATTGTAGGTATTAATCGTTCGTTTTCCAATCTCGACTCTCCGTTCAATTCCGTTTAGATTGTCCCAGATTGTTTTAACACGTTCATTATCGGTCGACTTTTCCATTATTTATGCTATATATTGGTAAACAATTTTTGCAGAATAGAATCTATTTTTATTATATATAACCATTTTTCTTTTCTAAAGAAATTCATATCATTGAAGAATACATGCATATGTACTCGTATATATGTATTTCGAAATTATTCTATTAATTGATATTAATGGAAACAATTTACACGTTCGTTATACTCGAATATATATTTTAAATGAATCATTATAAAAATTATATTCAAAGGAATTTACGTTCTCACAAGACGATATATATAAAATTAAATATAAAATTGCAATTCGAGTATATTGAATATATGAAACGTTTCCTATTTACGAGCAAAAAAAATTTTCAATAATATCACGTTTTTTAAGAACAAAATTTCGTTTTGAATAATGGAAAAAATTTATTTTATCGAATATTAATGATAAATGTACATTTCAACAAATACTTTTGTGAAGAAAACGTGTTATACTTAAAATTTAAGATTAGTTTTATCAAAATAAAAAAAATCAATTAGTCACTTAGTTAATAAATACAGTAATATTATATATAATATACATGCAATGCCAAATATTAAAAGATTAGAACGATTATATATAGAAAAAAATTTCGGAGAAAAAAATTAAATTTTATATTATTACTGTATCTTAAATATAGTTTTGCATTTTTTTTTTTTTTTTTTTTTTTTTGATAATTCGATCCTTGATCCTTATAAAATATTTACATATCAAAATTAAATCAAGAATTACGGATAAATAACATATATTCAATTTCTTTTACTCGTATTTCTATTATTTATCTAGTCATTGCATCAATGCATAAAATTAGACAAAGGTAATGCAAAAATAGGATATATATGTTATTTAATTTTATCTATTAAAATTCTTTCCTTCATTTTTAATTATTTTAAAGATACAGTTTCGAAAAAAAGAGATAATTTATATTTTTTACATTCGATAAAAAAAAAACTGTTCCTGTAATTAAATCATGTTATAATTGAACTCTTTTTTTACAATTCACGACTACTCAATAGAAGTAAATTGACATATTGAAATTAATATCGCAAATTGATATCCCTAAACGAAAAATTGACGAACATAATTCGTAACGATGTAGGCAACTATATAATTAAAATCTGAAAATAAAATTATCCTGACGAAGGAAAAAAATATATCATGTAATTGATATTGTTAACAGCGTACATTCCTGGTTTTCAAATGGTAATCGTCTCCAATTTGCCTTCAAATTATGATCTTGGGAAAAACGCAGCCTTAATCGTTGCCTTTTACATGTTTCTTGAAACAGTAGCGCATACATATACAATAAATATTTTAGAAAAAGCGTTAATGTGTCATTTTGCGGAAAAATTAGCGGTAAACTCTCCTTACAAAGCCCGAATCTCCGAAGTCTTGATTTCTGTTCTTGCAAAAGAGGACAAAATTTTCATCACCGATGCACAATCTCTTTATTTTGATCAATACAACTGGAACAATATCGATGCCGAATTGATTCTCATAGAATTAAATATTCAAAGAAATAAATCATCGGAGTGGCATATAACTAAGACACAATACGAAGAAATCATGACAGTGATGAACACGCAATCCCGATGGCGTACACATCCAATTGGCATGTCAATGATAAAATATTTATTTCCGGAAAAAACGATAAAAATGATTCATGATGCGATTGATAAGGATAAAAGAATAACAAAAATGGGTTACGCAATTCGAGAGGAACAGTGGGAAAAACTGGGTAGGATATCATCAAATGGTTTGATATATTATGTAACTTGTTTTCCATTATATAGTATTAATAATTGTATAAGCAAGTAATATATAATTGATAAGCAAGTATATTTTACATAGATTGTTAAAACATTACATGAAACATAGATACAATATATTATTTAGGCTGTAGCTTTTTTTTTTAAATATATATATTTATATATTTTGTTTTATATATATAATAGTAGGTCATATCTTTTTAACTTTGATTAGTATGTTTCAAAAATTAGTTTATTTAGGTACCGCATATTTCTTTGAAAGCAACTTAGCTTTTTTTTTTTTTTACACATTTATATGCAAATTTCGATTCAATATTTATATTGTGTATATTATAGGAGAGCTTTTGTGGGAAAATCACCGATCTGTGTGTAAATACTTGAATTTCTTATCTGACGATATTAAAAATATCGAGAGTACATTCGGAATTATCGAGGGAGTTTTAGGAGCCAGCGTTATCAATTATGGTACAGCTATCGTAACATTGGTAATTTAATTACTCTCTTTAAAACAAAACATTTACTTTGAGAAAAAATAAACAAAAACTAATAAATACTATACATTTTAATCATATAAAAAAAAAAAACGAAAAATGTAAATATAAATGAAAATATATTATATGATTATGATCATTACGTAAAATATTAATTAACATTATATTTCCTTATGTATTCAAAATTTGTTTCAATATTTGTTAGTAATATAATATAATTATCTCTCTCAACAGGTACGAAAAACGAAACTGAAAACTTTTCTCTCTTGTTTAAATCGTACACAAATTCCCTATCAACAATGTTACTTAATAAAGGCTTGTTCAGGTGCATCTGTAATTTATGGTTACGAACAACGTGTAACGACGCTTTTGGGTAAAAAATATATTTCTCGCCAGCAAATAAAGAAGTATCATTTGGTCGACTATGATTATTACGATTACGAATTTACATCAAAATATGAACCACGCTATAGCGCATCACTAACTTTACCACGTATATCTTTTATTTAAAGTTTATTTTTTTAAAATCTTTTTAAATATCTGTTTTTACTATGAATATACACATAGGAACCTTTATATTTGTGTACATTTCATTGTGCTTATATTAATTTAATCATTGTTTTTTACGAATAACAAATTATAAACAAGTATATAAATAAAACGAAGAAAAGATATTTTATGAAATAATTTTCATTTGAGCAAAAAATATTACGTGGACTTGTTATATTGCAGAATTGATCTTTTTGATAGAATGTGTTAAATTTGATTGGTCGTCAACTTGCGTATGCATGTTACGCGTGCGCATTGTAATACTATATTTTCTATTCTCTTTATCTCTTTACTCTTTCATCCTTAAAATCCTATATTCTCCCCACCTTTTTTTTATATGTAATATTCTTTCTTTATATATAAACGCATACATTATTACAATGCGCAGTCATAGAGATAGAAATAGAGAAAGAGACAGAAAAAGAGATAATATTAAAATGCGTATAATTCGTCTTTGTAATTGGGTACAAAGAAACGGAATTCGCGTTTGCACATCACATTACTAAGAGCACTTAAACCACGCGACACTTAAGTGCGTTATAAAAATACGCAATATTATTATGGTAAAATTCATAGTTTTTAGTTTGAACGACTGTGTTTACTTATTGAAAAATGGAATTTTCGCGATGACAATCTTGGTAATATCATAGCGTACGGTAATTTTGTTCATTCAATGTTCTATAAAATTTCCAAGACAGAGCACCAATTGCCATTAAACCTGTAGCTAAAATGATGCCACCTAGAAAAAGGCAAAAATAAATAATTTTTTATTTAATGATTGATTACTTAATCATTATGTTTAAATGAATATTTCCATTCAAACAATTAAATATATAAATGAACAATTAAATATTTAAAAAAAAAATTAATATATATATTATATATTAATGTATATGATATAATGTAATAGATATTAATACTTACCTAAAAAGCTAAGACCATCAAAATGTCGTTCTTTATAAGATGGTGCAACTTTTGTTGATACTGGAACTGTAGTAATTACAGGAGTTGATGAAACGATGGATGAATTTATAGTAGATATAATATTTATAGACTTTTCGGTAATAGTTATATTTTCAATAGATGTTGTAGGTTTTAAGGTAGATTGAGATATTAGTGGATTCACAGTAGTGATATTATCATTTGTAGTTTTGTTACTAATAGTAGTAGGAGTAGTAGTAATAGTAGAATTATTTGTAACAATAGTGACAGAATCAACAGTATCCTTAGTAGTATTGTTAGTAGTAGTATTAACTGTTGTAGTAGAATTTGAAGAATTTGTAGTAGGAAAAGTATCATTAACTACAGGCATTGTCTGCTGATTGGTAGGTTTACTGATTTCTTCTTCTGTTGTACTAGCTGTATAAAGAATTAATTATATGTATTACTATTAAATCTTTCTATTAAATCTGCTAGAACTGTTCAAATATAAGATTTAATAAAAAAAAAAAAAAATAATAAAAATAAAAAATAATAAAATATTAATAATTTAAAAATTTTTT